CTCGTGGATTTGATGTGTACACGTTAGATTTCAGGTAACCCCAGAACAAGAAATTCATCGGAGTGAGATGACTCCATCTTGAAACGCTGCATACGTTGGAGACTTGTAATTTCGGTAAAATGTTTTTCCTCTCCTTTGTTGTTTTGCTATTGGTCCTTACATTGCTGTACGTTGCTAAAGTTTTACGCCGGCAGGTTTCGTCTTACGTGTACCGTTCCAACGACATTTATTGTGTTTCAATGTGCTCATCAATTTGAGCAGAAAAAAAGTGGGTTTTGCCTTTCGAAATTTGATTCACTGTAATTGCAACTGTGAGAGCTCCATTGTTTTAAATTTTCAGAATCTCGAACGCATACCTTCAAATAACAAGATGACATTTCATTTTCACTGGTGTGAGCGGATAGGCCACTAAGGATTCACATATCGCGAAAGTTATTTTATGACAACACTGTCACAACAAGAAAGAAAATTAAAAAAGTCCGTGAGAAATGCATTGATGATAAAGGCAAATAACAAATAAAAAGCGTATAAAACATGCATGAAACTACTTTAAAGATTAATTAAAGCAAATTGTAAAATCCAGCCTGTTATGAAAACCGAAATAATTTAAACTGAGGCTATATCTCTGCGATGTCATTTAATTTAAATTTAAGAGTGTTAAAATAGTTTTGGAAAACATAATTAAAATACGAACACTCAAATTAAGATATGTTGTACAGATAATGGAAGACTGCTATTTCCACATATATTGCTGAAAAGTATATTCACCAAAGTAATTCATTCATTCATTTAAGTAACGAGAATCATCTAAGTGAGTAAGTAATAAGAATCATCTATTCTCAAGTAATATGAGTAAGTAGTGAGAGTGAGTTAAAAGAATCTCCTCTTTTTGATTTACGTTTGACTCCTAAATTACTACTGTGGGTTTCTTAACTTATTATTAATCTGCAATTTACCCGGAATTTTTTACTTAATGACTCCTTTCATATCTACAAGGAGAACAAGGTCTGCTGGATATTTACACTTTGCTGCAATCTTGTTTTCTTTGCTGACTTAATGACTCCTTCCATATCTACAAGGAGAACAAGGTCTGCTAGATATTTACACTTTGCTGCAATATCCGCAGCAAAGACTAACATATCCAGGAACAAGTGTTTAGCTAACATATCCAGGAACCCAGAAAAATAAATGATATCCTTCACTTCGCAGTTTTAGATTCAGATGCTATACTTCGACATGCAACCTGCAAAGCACTCTCCAATTGAGATATGCAGCCAATGGCTTTCCACCCCCTATTCATTTGTCACCCTAGAATCAATCGCTAAATTCTGAAATGTTAGGTGCAATCAAACATCTCCCAAGTGAGCAAAAGGTGCAGGAAGGAATTTTTTGAAATGAAAGTCATCTCTAAATTTAGAAGATTAAGAAATTAATCAACTAAGCTGCCCATATTAAATTTTTCTGAGAAGGAAATGACATCGACTCTTATTCTCATCTTCTCAATCAACGAACGTCTGCTACAACTTCACCAATCTTCTTTAAAGTTTTTAATGTATCATTAGGTTCTAACCGTTTCATGGCATCATTTATTTCTTCTGTTTTTGGTCACCACAATTTAGGCAGCTAATCCTTTCTTCTTTATTCATATTACATTCACATGCAAAATAATTTTCAAAACTATCACACATCCCGGCTTGTTAAAGCATCGTGATGAGGCATGGTCAAATCTTTGACAGAGATAACACTATTTCAAGCCGGCCTTAGGCGGATAAGATTCGGTTCGATTTCTGGCGAAGGCGTTGCATATTTTTCCTCTTGCCTGCTCCAAACGAATATATAATCACTCTACAGTGTAACGTACTGTGAATTCTTTTAGCGTCTTCAGACATGGAAAGCTCCGAAAGGTATTCTGGAATCTTCATTACATTGCTCTCAAGTGATTCTCATGAACTGCATCCCTTTTATTGTAGGTAATTTCATTTCATATTATTCTTCAAGCAAGTCATTTTCTGAAAGATCTTTTAGCAAGGCTCTAATAACTGCCTCTATTTTGCATTTGAATTTGAAACCATATTTTCTTTTCACATAGGTGACGTGAGATGCAACGAAATGGATTTTACGGAAAATATTTAACTGTACAGCTTTAATGATGGCTTTAATCTTTAGTACAGATGCTTTTTAAAATTGTTCGTAAATTTTTCACATTGACTATTCAGGTTCTGGAAAGATTATGGGTGGTCTCCTTTTCGGTGTAACAGGAATACTGGTCTGAGCTGATTCATCCATTAATTCCTCTTCGCTGCTAATCGTTTTGTAGTTATAGGACTTTTTATAGTTTCATACACTTCATCATGCATTTTCAAAGCACGTAGTATGTACAGCTCTTTTGCAAATGAAGCAGATTGATGATCGTCAGTCTCCTCTATCCTGTCCAATAATTATACTTTGGTTTTGGACATGAATTCTTCATATGTTTTTCGTTCCTATTAACTTATTATGGGTTTGGATTTACTCCAGCGTTAAATCCTCACCCTCAGAATAGTATTCAGTTACTGCGTGAGCATTGATTCGATCGTGTTCAGACATTATTCGCCTTCAAAAGAAGCACACAATTGAGAGTTGGTTGTGTTTTGGCTGAAGAAAAATGATCACCAGTGAAAATTCACGAGCAACTCTAGAAACACAACCTCCACATAGCAAAGTAAAACTCAGAAGAATAGTCCCCAAGATTTCAGCAAGTATGGGATTGCAATTAACAAGGAATAATTCTAAAGACCTTAAAGCACTAAGAAATTCCGTATAAAGGCTATATTTTATTGTAGAGCTATTTCAATATGAAAGCTAAGTTACAGTATATTTCAGCTAATTCAAATGTAAAAGCTGAACAATTTCGGTTCAGATTACTGTGTTTATTTCGATGGTCAAAAAATGGTTGCTTATACTTAGCATTCGCTAGTGTTTTTCTTATTGAAGTGATCATATAATCTAATAATACCCATTCAAGCATCCTTCAAAGGAAGGGTATCAGATGGTTTTGAGAACTGAGTTTTCAATGGCAGTATGATATATTTTTGTAGCTATAAACAAATTTCAAAGACAAAAGATGTTACACGTTTAAGGTCGTGCTCATGAAGAGATCATGAGTCATGAGTATCAAAACTGGATGCTGGGGTTGTGACATTATGCTGAAATAATAAAAGAGAATACAATTGTTTTCGCCTTAAATGAAGTGAAAGTCCGAAGTTGGCAACCTACAGGCTCTGTACAGGAGATACTCTAAAGGCTCCGGAATATGTCCATAAAGCCTGAGGATGGACAGAATCGAGTATCAAAAACACAAGAGATCGCGGAGATGCATAAATAACGAAGCCGTAATGACATTTTGACCAAACAGATGCTCTGTAATATTAAGCGATATTCAAACAATCCCGATGAATTTGAGTCTCAGGATAGAGATTTCGCTTCAGGAGAAATGCACACAGCCAGTCTTCTGGTTTGATACATAAAACTTTACTGTTTTGAAAACAGAAAAATCCTGTTTATTTTGATTTTTCGCAATTTCTCAATATATCTCATGCCTATGCCTGAGATCGTTAACATATAAAGTTCTAAAGATAACTGGAGGAAGTTGTTTTAAAATCGAATTGATTTTGAGGCGGAACAATGGATCCTTTTAACTAGGGCCCTCCTTTTTGACAAGATATATCTGACATCAGAGAACCAATTCTTGCTAGAAAATTCTCAAAACATTCCCTATAAATCCCTAAAAAATTCCCGTGCAAGCTACAGTTTTATAGATTCTTAAGATGTCCATATTACCAGATCTTATCATAAGCCTTTGCATTTAAAAAATACAGACATTAGAGTTTTACTCTATGAAGAGGTAAATTACGAATATTATAAAGTGTTGTTCTTCCTTTACAGAAACCACTCTGGAAAGAAAATATATGGTTAGTCGTTTCTGAATAACACACAAGTCAAAACTTTACCATCTTTTCAAGACATGTACCAGGAAAACTAGACAGCACAAGTGAGCAAGAGCCAAGTGATCTTTCATGATTCTTCCCGTGTTTAGCTATGGAGTTTGGTTTATTTGTTTGACTATGGAAAAGCATTCGAGAGTTATGTGTTTAAGAGAATGGAGGCCTTTGTAGAGATTGTATACACGTTACATATGGGAATCAAGAAAATGCTCATGTAGCCACCTCGTTCACTGGGATTCGAACCCTGGTTGAAGTAACAATGTTCAGCGTATTGACCGCTTGGCCATTGGAGGGTTTTAGCCATGACAATGAAATAGGCTCATATTATATTACACATGGGGAAAACTACGAAAACGCCTATGCAGCCAGTATATTCGCGAGAATATGAGCCCATCTGAATTGCTGAAAAAGGTCTAAGGTTTCCAACGAATGTCGAATTTATCGTAGTTGGAGAGTAGGATGTTGACATCCTTGTTCCTCGGATCCGACAATTCTGTTTAAATGCTAATATATTCCTGTATTAATAAAAAATTAAAAAGTGGATGAAAATTTATTTCCTTTTTGTTAACACCACTGCTACAAATATGCAATGATCGTACAATTTCCTTTTGCATATATATATATATATATATATATATAACGTAATAAGGAATATTTTTTAATCGAAGTTTTTATTTGAAATTTCAATGTCCTCTGTACAAAATATGTTTTAAATGCGGAATAGTTCAATTTACCGAGTAAGTACTTAGATTCTGCTTGGATAGACTAGTTTTTCTTTCTATCTAGTTCTTCATACGGAAATTATAGCAAACAATTAATGACTCATCCTGATTTTTCCTTACAATCGACTTTGTAAATACATTAACAAACCTAAACAACAGCAGCAGTGTATAGAAATAAATAAGTACTATGTAAAGTAAGGAAAGAGCTAAGAAAATGTTTTTATCAACTGTTGAAGAGTTAGCTCTTTATCTCGTCTTTCAACCTTTCGCTTTGGATTCGAATAGATTACAGAAGTGACTGATGTATTTCACATTGATAAGAACCTTCCATCTTTATTGAAATTATACATTTTCATCGATGCATCAGCGGTGAATATTTCATGTAAATATGACTCAAGTAGATATAGGGATACTTAGCATACTTAGCATCTTCTTTGTGGTCACATTTGCAGGTGAATTTTGACTACTTTTGGAATTCCTAATTTTGTACTTTTTAGCCATTGATTTATGTTATGTACTGTATAAAACTGTTGGAAGAATTAAGGTGTGAAGGTAAATCTATACGATTTTGCTTATCCCACAGACATACGTAAAACACTTTCTTGTTATCGTAAATGTTGCCAATTCTAATGATGGCTATAATTCCTATTATAGACGTTTTAAAATATTTCTTACATAAAGTTCATAAAAATCTTAGTATTTAAATACTCGCGTAAAGAAAATTAAACGTTTTATTAAAAAGGTTCTGAAACGTTTCGAATTATCTTCAAGAACTGCATAAAGTGCCATTGTTAATAAAATTTTCTGCTCGTGTATAAACTTATTTTCGTTATGGGTTGCTTAGTACTTCGAATGTATTCAAATTTTTATAAGATCATGGAAAAACTAAGAATTTATTTTAGGTAAGTATCTGCACCGGGCATAAATTTATCTTTATGTTTTTAGACACCTTTAGACACTCGAAGCAAAAGCATAAAAAAGGGAAATTAAGCCCTTTTATAACTGCACTGCAGTATTATTCTAAACAAAAGCCAATTATCTTTATTCTACAGTAATTTAGGTAGATATATTTTACATTTCAAACGGTTCAAAATTGAATCGAAAAAATAACAAGTAAATTTTACAATCTGCATTCATGTTGATTTGTAGATAGGAATGTAACTGAATAGTTTGCGGGGAATAAGGGATCTGAGAAACTTAATTTTTAGCATATGAATCATCCGGGCAGTCTCGACATAAAAGTTAATTGGGAATGAAGTACTTTCTTTTTCTCAGAATAAAACAGTATCCGCCTAAATTTTAAGAAGCCACCGAACTTGTAATTTATTGTGAAGAAAGTGTAAGTCAAGCAATTTTTCTGTGCTTATTGATGGAAAAATTTATTTGATTTTAACAGTTTAATAATAACGTATTTATTACACTTTGCTTGATTATTGAATATTATTGCTTTGAAATATTTTGAATAAAACTTTTTTTTAAAAAATTCAAAACTTAAGGATAATTCCAAGCAAGTTTGACAAATACTTATTTTGATTTCCCATATTTGGTTTAATAATTAAGGCAATATATTTTTTTACATTTGTTAATTTTGTGGGAATATTGGTTTGCTTAAAATTTTTTGGAAAACGTTAATTTGTTTTGTTGAAGGTGCTAGCAAAATGCATTAATCCAGCAAGAGTTTTTTTCCAAAGTGTAAGGGCTGAAGAAATTAAATGATTAAAAGGACCCATAATATTAAATAGTTTGAAAAATTAAAAACTAAAAGTAAATATTAAGATTTATTCAAAGATATTTGCAAATTAAATTAAATAAGAAATAAGAGTTCACAATTAATGACATTTCTGAATGGAATTTGCTTGAGGAATTAGGATTAATTACAAGATATTGAATAGCTTTTAGGTAAAATGTCATGCTCCGGAAATACTTGCCTGAAAAATTTACGATGATCGGCTTTGAAACTGATGAGTTTTTTAAGCTATGATGTTGCGGGCCCAAACAGCAACAGTAGTAGACTGTTATGACGTAAAGTACACAACCTCGTAAGAAGGGTTAAATCCCTTTTTATCCACTTTCGAAGTCCTTGCGTTCACTTGACGCTCACAAACTACGCCGACCCGGTGGTTTAACAAAATAGGAAAGTACAACTAAAAATAAATAACAGGATGAATAAATACGAAATCACTATCTACGAGGCTCTATAATCGTAACTAACTTAACCGCGTTAATAAGATACAGCTTATTAACTTGATTAAGATCAATCCGAAATAGGCTTCTTAAATTTTCTACCTAGCAACCTTCACGCTCGCGATTCAAGAAGCACACTTACAATCTCGTTTCCCTTTATTTAACTCAAAAAAATTTGAATACTCTGCGCGTTCTACTAAATTGGATTGGCAATTCTAGGGAAAGTAAAGGGACAGGAAAGATAGCTTAACTTAAATAAATGTTAGTTAAAATAAAATAAACCCTACAAAGCATCTAACGACAAACATTTGGTCTCTTCTAATTTTATTCAATATCTGCTTCTCAGAAATATGTAACAATATTTCTGTTATTTTCAACAATTTATAAAGACTTATATTTTGCTTTCATAAAAGTTGCAACATAAACATTTGTCGGATGTACCTGAAATTTTATGCATGGATTATTCAGCATAGGTATATAAAGGACTAAAATTTTAGGTGCCTGCAAAAATAGGGTATACATGCAAATCAGACTAAAATTTGACTTCAAGGATGAAAAAGGATCCATAATAACAAATCTAAATCACTATTCTGGTAAAATCGATTGCTATTGCCCTGAGAGTATGTAAATATGCCTCGATGCAGAGAAAAACAGTTTGATCAACGATTGCCGAATAGCAGGGCTCAGAGAGATGATTTCTCATATTGTGAAATACAGTACGAGTAGGGAGGGATGCTTAACATTTACACGTAATTGGACAGAAGGTACGAAGCATCAGTGCAAGGGAACTTGAACACCTACGGGTACAACAGATGGAGAATGTATACACCTTGTACTCATAGCGATGAAAAAGCAATTATGCTGCTACATTAGCATAATAATGAAACATCGGAGATGATAATTGTTAATACTGTTGCACAGATGACTTACAGTTCGGAATCTACGTTTGCCACTTCCGGTGACCTACACCATCAATATCAAAGACTATAATAATGAAGAGAACAAAAAAGAGACTAACACAAATAAATTTCTCCGACTAGTCTAGGTACAGTTTCTGGACCCACGACAGCCAGACTTTGGTACAACGATAACATCATTAGACTATTGCTTTTTATTCACGCTCTTACCTTTTAAGAATCACAGGCAATCTAAGTAATTAGTCTCACATTCGTTAGATGCTGGAACTGTGGTTGTTTGATTTGGTGAATGTGATTACTGCAAAGTCATGAGGGTTATCTTCTTAGGCGCAGGGATTCCTTCGTCAAGGAATTTCTAAGGATGGTGTGGTGTATTTAATTATGGCAAAGCACACTAGGGCTATCTGTCTAAGCCGAGGGATGCCTTCGTGGAGGACTTTCTATGGGAAAATGGCTCGTATACACGTTACACATGGGGAAAACCACGAAAACACCCATGCAGCAAGCCCGTTCGTGGGATTCGTACCTCGGACCGAACTACCAGTGTTCAGCGACTTTACCGCTCGGCCGCTGGTGGGCGGAATTTCTAAGGGAAACTGTCTCGTATATATGTTATCGTGAAAGACCGAAATTGGAGAATGTCGACTTTCACCGGAGAATGTCAACATTCAAAATACTCGGGGAAAGATCGAATATTTCTTACATTCTTGTACATTCGGCCTCACCGGTGTATGTCGACAATCACAGATATGCTCGGTGTAGGTCGAAAAGAGGAGTATATGTACACGCTGCATTCTTATTTGGAGTGTCATTCTTATTCTGAGTCTAAGTGCGTTTTTTCGCGAATGAAATTACGGAAATTATATTATTCTTATATGTTCAACATTCACCATTAGTACATGGTGAATGTCGACATTCACCGGTGTAAGTCAGAAATGAGAGTATTTGGAAAATATTTCGGACATAAACCAAGCGACTATGTGAATGTTGACATTCACCGGTGAAAGTCGACATTCTCCAGATTTCGGCGTTTCACCGTAACATATACGTTACACATGCAGAAAACAGCAAAAACGTCCATGCCGTCAGCTTCTTGTGGAATTCGAACCTCGAATCGAACTACCAGTATTCAGCAGTTTTACCTCTCCGCCGTTTTGAGCCATGGAACCATTGTTGCAGAATCATATTGGGCTGCATTTCAGTAAGACGAAACTATCGCTCATGTCGCTTGTATTTTTCGGCGTTTCCTCTCTGGCCATCAAGTGTCAAATTTTCTTTGGCTTGCAAGATCGCCAGAGATATCTCTTAAGAAGAAGCTTCAGAAAATGATGTAGAAGGTTGCCTTGTTACGTCTTATTGCGTAACTGAAACGGAAGAGTATAAAGGCGTATTCGATCTGCATGGAATGACTTTAACAGACAACAGTTCAAACTGCATATTGGTCTTCATCACACCACGTCTGATAATATACAAGTGCTGAAGCGAAGACATACAAAATTTAACCATATGTGTTTTCTCCAATATATATCTTTAGTGTAATTCATATTTTTCTTCGTGTTGCAATTTTTCAGAGTTGTAGTGTACATTAGGTTAGCAAAGAAAGCAGGATACATAATTTTCTCTCACACATAACAGAAATATTCTAAATTTAAATTTTCGATAAAACGAAAGAGAGACTGACTTTTTTTCAATATCAGCATCAGCTGCATTTTGCCTAATATTAAAGCATTCAAAGCTTGATGATATAGGTAATATATATAGTTTTATGAAATACATAACTAAGAAATATACAGTGGGGTGTCGAAAGTAGGGGAAAGAAGCCGACCAGAAAATGATATTTATCTGATTATTATAAACCTTGCATCGATTTTTAATTTATAACAAAACATATTATGGACTTCGAGCATCACAATAAGCTACTCTTAAACCAAATAATAAAGTACATCTTGGGAAAGGGTAGTAATTTTACTAAAAAGCCGAGTTAAATATCAGCATATTATCGGAACAATGCACCTTTTAGGCACGTTTAATCTCTTATTAACTGATAGTATCTACCACTTGCTTTAATCGCTTCTACCCAACAGTTTCAAAGGTACTTCGGTATATTATGCATTATAGATCACCGTTAGATAATAGCAGGAGGTGAAATTTGCTGTTTTAAATAGTACACGTTTGTTTCAAGATTTGCTGCAACATAAAATTAGTCAAGACACAATAACACGCCGAATAAATACTAATTCAGAAGTCAAACAACAAAAGTCCTGTGAACATTTTGTAGGTATAACGCTGATTTTTGTTGTTTGACTTCTGAATCAGTATAAAATTAGTCGTTGGATAAAATTTGTTTTGTAATGGAGATTTAAGGCAAAAATATCGAAGTTAAGTAAAAGGTATTCTTTGCTTTGTAACATCTTTAAAATATGCACCATGGTTCTTAAGAAATGCAAAATTACACAAAGTACTAGACATTCAGTATGCTCAAGACTTCTTCTCACCACTGTATTCAAGCTCAAAACGGAATATTTATATATTGATGTTCTTTCCAATTATGAACTCCTTATTGATCTCATGTACTTTAAACCCTTAATGGTTCTCGTTCCTTACTTCAGCCATACTTAATTCTGAATAACTCTTTCTTTCTTAATGAATTTGTGGAGGTAATTGCTGTTTCTAGCAAAGGTACTCCGGAGGCCATCTCCTTGGTCCTTGGTCCAATTATGATCCCACGGTGGCTCATTGTTATAAGAGCCCATGAACTCATTTAACTATATGCATTGTATATAGTATTTGTAGTTAGTTTATTTAATCCAATGTTAATTTCTTTGCATCACATATTTTTTATACGTTAGTTGTATGAGTGATATTGTCCGACAACAATTTTACGTCAAGAACTTTTTCTGGCGTTGTACTTTTCAAGAACATTTTACATATCATGTTGCTCCTGCAACCTCAACTAGATCCTCTTCTTTATCACCTCGTTCGTATGGCTTTCATTTAGCCTCTATATGATGGAGCATATGGGTTTATATTTTAATGAAAAATAGTAGACTAAAAGTCCTTCAATCACAGACTAAAATCTTTAGTGATTGTTAAACCTAAATAATAATGATAGTCTTACTTTTGGCAAACTGTTTCGCTCCTGAAGACGACGAGCTGAGCAGAGGTAGAGCAGTGAAGTCGCTAAACACTACTTCGATCGCTAAACACTAATTCGATTGGGGTTCGAATCCCAGCGAAAGGGATGACTGCATGCTGGTTTACATGGTTTTCTCTATGTGTAACGTGCACACGAGCCAGTTTCCCTTAGAATATCCTTCACGAAGGCATTCCTCTTTTCAGGAAGATAGCCTTCGTGTTCTTTGTCGTAATTAAATAAAATAGACCAACCTGAAAAAAGCGAGGTTAAACTGACCGCTTCTAAATCCATTGTGTTTTATTCAAAACTTACGCTAAACTAAGGTTGCTTTTTTGCCTGATTTTAAATTTTACACTGGATTAAACTAAACACTACTTTACACTGGCTCAGGATAATCTTTACACCGGATCTGGATAAACATGACTTTAAACTGGATCTGGGTAAAAATTGTATTAACACGATATAAACTTTATACTGGATCTAACTAAATGTTTTAAAACTCTTTTATAACACTGCTTGGAAACATATTTTGTCCTATGAAATACCCTTGCTCCCAAGGAAGTCTAACTTCATTTGAAAAGAACAAGGTTTCAGATACAATGCCTCATCCTCCATAGCAAATATGCACTCCTTGCAACAGAAATGATAGAAACAAAACTGTGTATTTTTTAAATGAGTGAAGGTAACTTAGGAAATCCAAGGTTCAGAGTTTTTATTTAGATTTTTGATCAGGATAAACTCTTAGAAAAGTTTTCGCATAACTCCTAATGAACATACAAATGAAATAAAAGCATTCAAAATTAATTACCAGTGAAAATAAATGAAGCAATTAAAATACAATAATCTGAGTATTAAATATGTAATATGAGAGTAATACTGGCTCATATTACGCTCAGAAGTAGCTAATGCCATAGGGAATTAAAAGTAACTGTGTCTTCATTTCGTCCACGTCTGCAAAGTAAACACCATTATCAATTCTGTAAGTAAACCGACGACCGTTGGGAAGAACCAACCATCTTGGCACAGTTTGATGATTTTCTGCAGAAGAAAATGGTGATTCAGAAAATTTTCGGATTGCTTCTTACAGTGGATATGGTTACCTAAAGAACTGTTATGTGCACAGTTGCCAGAGTTTGCGACTTCTGAAAATTTGGCGGTATAAGGTGGTTACGATAACACGTTATGTACCGACTACAAAAATACTATATCCAAATTGATTTATCAGCTCAAATATTGGTTTAAACAAGAGAAGTTGAAGCTGGAAAATTAGGATTTATGTGCTATGCGGGAGAAAATTGTTAAAGGTAAACTTTTTACAAAAACTACAGTTTTGGGCTAAGGGAAATGATGGAATTTTCACTTATCAAAGAATTAGGAATCAACATATTGGCAATATTTGGATCAAATTTGTATGAATTTGTAAGAAAACATTCAGGGCAAAGATTAATATCATAAGCGATTTGTGGTACAACACACTTGAAAACGAATTGCGTTTTCTAACATCTCAATAGTTTAGCTTAAGCACTCGAGAGCTAACTGCTTTAGAGAAAGGATGTCTTCCTGGTAGACCTTTCTAAAGGAAACTGGCTCGTATATCCGTTACACATAAAGGAAACCATGAAAACGCTCCTGCAGCCAGCCCATTCGGCGGGATTCGAACGACGGTCCGAACTACCAGTGTTCAGCGACTTTACAGCTCTGACGCTGTGGCCCTTTCGCATCCGTATGGAGTTTATAAACAGGAGACCAAACATCTATGACACTAAAGTCGAGTCGATTATCATGCAGATATTGCTTTCAAATGCATTTTCAGGTTCTTAAAACATATAGACTCCGTATCTCTAGCAACGATGGTTGTTGCTTGTTCAAAATAATGTTTAATTGAATTCAGAACCATTTAAATAAATAATTTCATGCTTTCTGCTATTTTATCTAGTATTTTGTTCTTTATTTTTGATTCATAAAGTATTTTGAAAATTGTTGGAATAAATGTAGTAGTAACTGGCCATTATAAAAATTTAATTGAGAAAATTATTCGAAAGTATGCTAAAGATGTCAGCTAAAGTTGTTGTTGTTTTAAATGGCTGAACACTGTCAATTTAATGCATGCTTTGGAACTGATCAATACCCATCGCTCACTTAGCTTTCTCATCAATGAGAATATTGCCCAAGGTGGACCACAGTGGGCTGCGATTTAACAGTCACTAAACGGGAATTTTCCCTCCCAATTTTGACAGCGACCCACAGAGGACAGATCCCAGGTTATCCTATCATCAAACTTCTGGTGAGGATTTTTGGCTCGTCAGTACTTTAACTCTTTGACTAAGAATTTAAAGAATTTTTTTTTTACCCCGTTTTCTATCCATGTTAACAAAATATGTCATAAGTAAGGTAAATTTAACATTTGGTATCTTTTGACAAACGGTTTTTAAGCCAAAGGCTGGAACACATATGTCCCAGCATTAGGTAATGGTGAGATGCATATTTCCCACACATAGCGATCGACTTACTATAAACACATCTATTATATTCTGGAAAACTTTATGAAATAGATTTGCATTGTAAGGTACAGGGAAAAAAGCATTCTTTGCATAACCCAACATCCCACATTGGGCAACTCATATTTGTTCTTTCTCTATGTTCATTTGCATACAACGAGCACAGTGGCGTCTTGATTTTCCAGCTATTGGAAGATAACCCTCAACATTCAGGGGATTTTAAGTTCTTTTTAACACAGTAGTAAATTTTAAACTTTTAGTGGGGCATATATGTCTCGGTAGTAGTCAAAGGGTTAAATGTTTTCCCATGTCCCACAAACATTATGCATATATAAATAACTAAGCCTTGACCCCAACGATACAATAGGCAACAGTGCTAACGATTTTAATTATCAAAATAGCATGTAAACTAAAGTGTAATATTTAGTTCACATTCGTAAATAATAAAGCATACTGTATGCCTGCAAAATGCATTACTCTCGCAGTAAGACTTATTTGAGTTTGAAAAACTGATATAATCAATCATGATGTTGTGTATGAGATTAGAAACTGTTGCACAACTACTCTTTTTTACGCTTTTTCTTAACGAATAGCTAAAATGACAATCCAAATTCTTTTGGGTTATAGCAAATAAAATATTTCTGTTTAATGTATGTTTTTAAAATGAATATGAATATAGTAATTTGTCATAGAATTAGCTATCAATATATTAGCAATGATTGGTTCAAATCAAGATGGAGTTGTAAGAACCCTTTTAAACCCTGAGAAGTTGTTAATAATTTTGAGAAATACTCGGATAATTAGATATTAATCCAAAACTTTTTCTTTGCAGCTGGTGTTCAGAAACTTAACTGTGATGATGTAGATGATCTACTATTTTCCGGGAGACATCCTAGTTGCATATACAGAGAGGCGCTGCGACGTGTTTTCAAGTTGGACAAATCCTTTCAGTTCTCGAGTGACAGGGATTATCTCCGTCAGATAGAAGTCTGGAGAGCCTTGCAGAAATCAATGAATGATCTTAAGCTTGATCATATGAAGAGCAAAGAATCTCCAAATTCTTTCAATAAAAAAGACAAAGAAGATGATTTGACATCATCGAAAGGAAATATTTCCTCCGTTACAGAAACATCTGTAGATACATCCATGACTCAACAATCATCAAATATACCATATCTAAGAACGAATGAGTCATTTGCTATTACAGAAAATATGAACACAGACAGCAACGTTTCATCGGAAAAAAATTATTCCGAGAAAACCGTCTTCGCTTCATCTTCAATTACATTAGATTCTACCAAACTGGAAATTCCGAAGATGCAGCCTTCCAATTCTACAATAAAAGAATATAATATTAGTACTTCTTCTTCAGTGTCAGCTAGACCAACAACATATTCAACCGAAAACGTCACAGTTACGCTTGGCAGCCATATAAATAAAACTGTATCAGTAAGAACCGCAACTACTGCACAAAATAGTAAAGAAATACCTTCAAACGCATCTTCGTCATTCGCAAATGTATCCACAGCAAATCCTATTGCAGTATCAGTAACAAATATGGAAGTAATATCAAGCGATGAAGCACATACAACATCTTACTCAACTTACATGGAATCCTCATCAAAAGGATCGAATCCTGCTTCATCAAACCCGGTGATCAAAAGCATAAAACCAGATGAGTCGACCACCACTGCAGCGGAAGATACAACAGATATTGCCGATGCAATATCACCTACGCAAAAGGAGCGCACGAAGAGACTATCTATAAAACTAATTCTTTTAGCAACGTTCCTGAGCATTATTACCATATCATTGGCTATAATCCTTACTTATATGATTCGCTATAAACGGAATGATATACAGTATGATGAAGTTACATTGCTTCCCTAAACCATTGCATAACTCAGGAGTGCCGTCTTGTAAGCAGCCAACATTAGATAGTTGTCGAAATAAAATTCCCAGCGAGGCGGCACTCATACGCAAATTAAGAGAAACCTACCACATACTAACCAGTTAATCAGAATTCGGATACTCAACATCATTACTATATTCCGTTTTTTGAAAAATTGTCTGCTCAAGCAACCCTCCGAGCGTTACGGGTTTAGCCCTGAAATTTCAAAGTTCCTCAAAATGTCATGAATAAGTGGTATTTTCTTCATTTTAATTAAGAAATGACTCTCTCATTTTGTACCTTGATTCCTTTTCTTCCAATATACATCTAAACCTAAATCAGATACATTAAAAACTAGCAGAAATTTTCATGTATAATGAATATAGAAGGCAGTCTTCTATGCGGAATTTTCCGGCCGTAACGCTGATCCACGCACTGAATTCATTTTCTACACTTTAAATGAACATAGGCTATATTACTTGCTTGTAGTGCCTGACTGGAATAAATAATTCGTTGGAATAAAAGAAATAGTTCGTTGTCTTTACGTAAAAATCTCATGCTTTCACACGTCGAGATAGCACATTATTTGAATAATTAAAACATTTTTTTTTTCAAATAACTAGACTTGTAAACATTTGTTTAAACCTCTGAGCAACGCGGGGTTTGGATCTGTCATGGAAATCTGTATTTAAACAGCCTTTATTGGCTAAACTTGTATATTTACTTATTTTATTCTGTATTTTCATAAACTTACGTTCATTAAGTTGACATTTATAATATTAAAGAACGTAAGAAAGCAAAATATCTTAAACTATAAGCTAATCTATAACAAGTGACAAAAAATCTCATGACAGGATAAAGCTAGTCATGGCGCTCAGATAATAAATGAATAGAATTTGAAAATAATATTTATTTGCATTTAGTATGGTCTTCACTAAAGAGCTACTCAGAAAATATTTTACAGATGAATTCTGTCAATAAATAACAATACACCGTGCCAGTTCAAAATATTTATGTATTCCGATATTAATAAAGAATAGAGAGAAAGTAGCATAAAAAGTATTTCTTTTTCTCACCACCACTGTTATAAATATGCATTATTCATGTAATTTCTTTTAATATATGTACGATAACAGAACAATAAAGCTGTTTTTTATTTCTATCATATTGTTCTTCAGGCGATAATGTCCACCTAAGCTTCTATTCGAAAATTTACCGAAAAAATACAAAAGAACAATTCACACGTTTTGTGCATGTAAGGAGGTTAAATACTGTATAAACAATAGGATTATTTAAGATGATAGTTGAAATTCCTTATTCCTTATGCATTGAAATTCCTTATGCGTTATGAATCAGAATTTCTCTAGAGTCATTCTTCTGAAGCAGATAATCCTTTCGCCATTTACTGTAACAAGTTAACTAACAACCAATCTTCTCATGAAAACTATAGAAAAAATCTGATGTGTACACCACATGACTTCCTTGTATTGGAATATTATCCTCCCCGGGGGTCGACGTAGAGAATTCTGCGAAGCTACTGGCTAGGATCTGTACCTAGGCAGTCTCGGCCACGGGGGTATAAAATTTATGAACTTGGTGGTTCTGAAGGCTCTGGGAAAGGTCACTTATTGGCCGGCCCCGGAGTCTGGCACGTCCTAGCGCGGCGTGTACTAGTAACCCGGGGATCTCCCCCGGGGTCGCTGTGTAATGTCCCGCTGCGACGGGCTCGCCCAAGCGACTGGTAGGAGCATTAGACGACCGGTGCTGCCTGGGGCTTGCTCCAGGTGGTGCGCTGCTCTCCTAAGGGGTAATAGTGGAGGTTGAACCACCACGATGTGCCCTAAGGGGGGAGTGGACCCGGAATGAGATTGAGTTCTCGAAACGGGGAATGCCCAAACCTTCTTGTATTGGAATATTAAATTATACGCATTTTTTCTTGCATTTCATTTAAAACTTATTGGATTGAATTAAATCTACTTCGCCGACAGCGCATAAACCACAATAGAATAAATGCATTCTTTAAAATTCACTCTAGTATTTGTTTACACTCTGGCGCTAGATTCACTTAACAGTATTAATAATTATATAAAAGTTAACTTATATAATAATTTTATAACGGAAACTAAGTTAACTGTTATATAACCCAATAATTATATAACAGTTAACTTATATATTTCGTTCATATTATAACTCATAATGCACAAAATTTATATCATTTAAAGAATAGAATTATCTACTCGTTGCCACATGTTCTATTCAAATACTATAATAAAGCTAGAATGATGTATAAAAGAAATTAAGTAAAGAAAACAAAAAAGAAACAGTTTTTTACAGACGTTTGAGTATTTCTCATTTAATTAATTCAGTTCTCCCTTCGCGAGAAGGCAAAAATACATAAAAACTCAAAATATCTATATTAAAAATTACGAACTAAATCTTAAACGCTTATTTCCTCGAAAAAATTCCAGAAAGGATTAAGCAGGATTTAAATAATAAATGAAGGCGATATCTTTGTTGTTGCGCAGCTAAGTTTCTCTAGATTGGCAACAAATCCACTAGTCTCCTGTTTCAAATGTAAACATCAATGTCCGCCATTAAAAAAGGCTTTAGCGGCAATTTAAACAACTTTAAAAATTGCTGATAGTTCTAAAAATATTGCACACAGATTTACTAAAGGCATGAAATCCTTAACCCGGATGATAAAAACAACATAATTCAATCATTTTTAAAGCAAAAAATGTACAATTTACAAACATATAAGAGTAAAGTAACTGAGATCACTGAGCAGGGTAACAGAGTGGATATATATATAAATATATTTATATACGTTTAGTGCGGCCGATTGCAACCAAAATACGAGGTGCACATCTACATGTTATAGCAGTCATGTATACAAAATTTCAATGTTCTGAGGCTACTCGTTTTTGAGTTATGCGAGATACGCGTACGTACATACGTTTCGTACAGACGCCACGAAAAATTTTCTTCAGAATTAAGTTTAAAGCAGTTTTATAATTTTTTTTGAAGGAAAAGAGTATTTTATTCTGTCCTTACGTACAGATATCACGCAAAACATCGTTAAATAGCATTCGATAGCGGTCAAAATGGATATTTTCGTTGAAATATGCTGCCCGAAACTTTTCGCGATTACAATACTTCCTTTTTACTTCGTACAAGGAAGTAAAAAATGAATAAATCGTCACCGATTCACTTCAGAACCGGAGATATTAACATGAGGTAGATAATTTACTACATTCTTTTAATGAACAGGAATTATGTGGATCCTTTTTAAACATAACGTTGAAAAAACACGACAAATGGTTTAATATATTAACCATTTATCTCCACTTTTTTATTTCGCTCTGGATTCGAGTAGATTTCATAAAAGATTTCATAGATGTTTTACTTTGATAAAGATCATTCTAACCTACTGACCTAAGCACTTTACTTGGTACATTGCTAGTGGGCAGTTCTCATGATAATGATGAGGCTGAACATCGGGCTACTTAGCATTTTCTACGTGGTTACAATTTCAGGTGAACTTTTAGTATTTATTGACTTGTTTTTAAAATCTCTTATATTACTTAGGATAATTAGCTATTACAAAAAACTAAACCCTTAACAAATGTTTATAGTTTTTGTTTATTATATAAATATCTGTTGACAGAGACGGTGCTTACTATAGCAGTGCACTTTTATTTGTGAATTTTCTTTGCTTTATAAACATGTTAAGGGAATTATATTTTATTAGTAGTAGTATCTTAATATTCATAATTCATAAAAATTGCGAAATTTTTGCGGTAATATTTGTGACCTTCCTATTCTTTTATTATTTATTACTTTTTAGGATAGAGCATAATGCTAGTATTATTGTAATATTCACGTTCAAAAGATCCTTAGGGAATAAATTTAATGCTCACGAAAATATAAAGACAATAGAGGAAAAAATTATATTTCAGTCATTTAATTAACTTATAGACATTTTAAAGCAAAAATCAGTATTAGATAAGAGATAAAGCTAAAAATGTAACTGCAAACAATTTTGCAACAAATTCTAATGTCGGCCTTTCTTTTTTCAAAGATGCAAGATTATGTTGATAGATAGAATCAAATTATCAGCATAGATCAAGCAATTTATGTTGATAATTTTCTAAATATTGCCTAAAATTCGTAACCATTTTCCCTTTCTACTCGAAATATTTAATATATAGTTTTCCTCTTCCACAAATACATGATTGATTTTTATATATATTCATTATTATTTTGATGTCGAGTTCGTTCTTTTTTGTGGATTTTGATATGCTTTTCAGCATTTAATTTGCTTCAATTTCTTATTTAATATACATTTTAACGCTTAAGAGTCAAAAAACAAATTTGTTAAATGTGTATAATTTACAATCAGCTACACAGCATTTGAGTTAGTTAATTTTCTTTAGGTTTAGGTTTTAGGTTATTTAATTACGGCAAAGCCACAAGGGCTATCTGCCTAAGGGGAGGAATGCCTTCGTGGAGGTCTTTCTAAGAGAAACTGGCTCGTATACACGTTACACATGGGGGAAAACCACGAAAACACCCATGCAGCAGCCCGTTCGCGGGATTCGAACCACGGACCGAACTACCCGTGTTCAGCGACTTTACAACGCGGTCGCTGGTGGACCAGTTAATTTTCTATGAATAATAATTATTTATACCAGAAAACGAAATTAAAGATGTTTACGCCAAGTATTCTATTCAAATTAACTTCCTAAATATAACTGTAACTAGAAATGAATTAGATTTCCTAATTCTTTTCCTTTACCTTTATTATGAGAAGATAGTCAAGTTTAGTTACGTAGAAGAAACAAATTAAAGCAATAATATACACACTTTCAGCAGTAATATAATAGAAGTATCAATTTAAATTTTTGTAATGTTAGCGGAAGCTATTTTATTAAAGAAATCAAATTTATTTATGTGTTTCGCCATGAGATTATTAAATGAGCGATATAACTAGTGCAAACATATACATTATGTGAGAGAAATAAATATATTATTAAACACAGTAGATTAAATATCTGCATTTAAAAAGATGTAATGAATTTAAAAAGTACATTTTCTTGTAGATTTTAAAAAAGAATAAAAATGCATATCTTTTTTCTGAGATATAACGGAAACGCTCTAGCTTCAAACTTAAGGTTATTATCTTCTTTGCAGTTTTAAAACTAAAAACCACATACATAATACAAAATTTTAAAAAATTCCGAATATAGTTCTTTTTTCAAAGAATGAGACTAAAAAAACTAAAATACATTCTAAATACACTCATGTCCATAAATTAAGGATAATTCGGAGTCACGCGGAAATCGAACTCTAAAATAACCCCTGTAAAATCACTACACACATCTTCAAGAATCATATGCAAATTTCAGGAAGTAACCAGATGACGCCGATGGTACGTCACAATGACGAGAGTGTAAGAGAGTGATATATAACGAATACAGGCAAAGAAGTAAAATTTTTCGCAGGCGCTTTATAAGCATTTCAGTGCAATAACCGAATAGTTATGACACAAAGGACGCAGTTGGATGATTTTTTACGTGGTAGAATTATCGGCCGTCTGGAATGTGGGCGTACCCAATTGGAAATATCAGACGAACGTGGAATTGCCCAGAGTGTCATCTCCAGGCTTTGCCAACGATTCCAAGATGATGGTAATGTGAGTAAACGTTGCAGCACAGGTCGCCCTAGAGTTACAACGCCGAATGAGGACCGGTATTTGGCAGTTACTGCCAAAAGAAACAGACGGAGCACAGCCTCAGACCTGTCTCGTCAGCTCTCTTCAGCCACTGGTACGACAATTTCAAGGCAGACCGTGTACAGACTCTTAGGGCAGATTGGTCTATATGCTCGTAGACCTGTCAGATGCGTTCCACTTACTGCAACTCACTGTCGCCTTCGGTTAGCCTGGAGTAGAGAGCATGCGTTGTGGACACCGCAACAGTGGGCTTGTGTGATGTTTTCCAACAAGTCCAGGTTTAGCTTGCAGCCTGTTTCTCACCGGACGTTCATATGGACAGCTCCAGGTACCCGTTACCACCAAGGAAACATCATTGAACGACACCGTTACGATGGTGCAGGAGTGCTCGTTTGGGGTGGAATTATTCTGGGTTCTAGAACTGACCTGCATGTTCAAATTGGAACCATGACAAGCCAAATCTATCGGGACGTTATCTGGACCAACATGTACGTTTGTTTCGGGGCGCCATGGGTGCACAATTTGTGTTTATGGATGACAACGCCCGTCCTCACCGTGCAAACATCGTAAGCGAATGTCTTCAATCGGAGGATATCACCCGTATGGACTGGTCAGCATTCTACATGTCTACCCGAACTTCGGAGAGCATTGCTTTTTGAGTGGTGTAATATCCCCCAAGATCAGATCGATAATTTGATACTCAGCATGCCTAGGCGTTGTACGGACTGTATTGCATCGTCTGGAAGACATACAATGTATTAACAATCATACCAACCATGTAATATTGGTTTTTTGTAAATAGGTTTTTTTTTTTTTTTTTTTTTTTTTTTTGTAATTTGCTCCAGGGAGAAAAGATCGCTATTTTTTTAAATAATATCAAACATATAGCATCTCTTTTTGCTATTTACCATTTGTTTAATAAATAAGCTTTACAAATAAGTCAAATTTGTTTTGCTTCTAACTCTTCCTTTGCCTGATTTCGCATTATCTTAATTTATGGACATGAGTGTAATTTATTGGTTTCAAGTAGAAAGATTCAAGTGCGTATTACAAGATTAGTTCAATATAAGTTAATTGTAAAGCACATGCTAATGAGAATTCGAAGGCTATAAGTGCTCTAGCAACAGAAGTTATATTGTGAAGATCGGATCTTCGATATCGCTAAAAATAAAATACGAAGTTTTACTAGCTGATTTCCTGTTATCTTGTCTGATGAGAACATACTCTTTTACAGAAGTACTTCTCAGTCGGTGTTATAGAACTCAAACACTCGGAGAGTAATCTCAAGGAGTTCACCAGAAACAGTGCGAATTATATATAAATGCATTTTTGAGTCATACATAATTTGAACTTAATTTCACAAATGCAATTTTACTGAAAATGTACAGGATACGTATCAGAATTTACTTCCAAGGTTTGCTTCAAGGTAAACGCGTCCGTGAAATGGTTGTACCTTGAAATTTATCCCTCTTAACCAAAACAGAATATTAACTTTTCATTTTTTTTTACTTACAGACAACATTTCGCACATTTTTTAGACGAATTTCATTGCATTTAGAGAAATATTTTACCCAAACGTTTTGTGTTCTGAGTGTTCTATTTGATAAACCTTATTCTTCACTACCCTTCTAGACCGTAATTTCCAAGACAATAAAGACTTTTGTAGTAGCGGAAGAATACTTTATACCATTCTTCTTAAACAGCTTTCTGAAGTCCAAAGAGGGGGGGGGGGGTGGGGGTTGCAGGTCGACATTTGGACAATCCACTTTTTAAAAGACCAAAAGCGCAAATATTCAATGAGTTAATTATCTAGTGATTTAGTAGGGATATGAGTGAAGGGTATAACCTTGATACCCGTTTTTTTTCTTTCACTTTTCCCAAGGAATTAACAGTGCATTTTGACGTGTGGCGGCTTGCTGGTAAAGAGAAAATATTTCATATTTGAAAACTGAGTATAAAATATATTCCTGATAATATGGGGAATTGGTCTTAACAGTTTTCTGCACTCTCTTTCATTTTTATTAGATGTTATATCAAAAACCAACAAGAAGTATAAAATTTCGCGTTAAGGAACATGAGGTATATGTTAGAAAAAAAGGAAACACAGAAGTCTTCTGTTACCCAACATTGTTGGTCCGAAAATCACACTTTCAATTTTTCTGCTGCCAAAATTATTTAAAAACATCTTCCGTTGGTGAACTGGATTTTCTAGAGGCATTTCACATTCAAAAAAATCTTTCTATTCTAATTAACAACCCTAATTCCAATCCATCTTCGCCTTCAGCATTTAAAGAAATTATGTTTTAGTTCTGGTTTCATCAACACATGGCGCCAGTAGCTTATCTTCCATCCAGGCTTTCTTATCTTATCTTATCTAATCATTATACCTTATCTCGTTCATTTGCCTTTTGCAGCTGAGGATGATGATTCGGTAAAACCATCAAAACTAGTCCTGTGAAAATTTGAAAATATAACGCTGATTTTTGTTGTTTGACTTCTAAATTAATATTTGTTCGGCATGTTATTGTATTTTAAGCATAAATACCTTTGAAAAACTTTCTTTAGATTCTTTGAACCATTTTAAAGATTTTTGTCCTCGTCTTTGATGATAATAAATGGATTTCTTTTCATTGTGTTATTTAAATACATTCAAGATTTATCTGCTGTGGCAATATTTTTCCATTTTTATCCGAACAAATGTTTCTCATGAAGATTTCTACAGTGCATTCAGCGTTCGATAATTTGTCGTGGAGAAAGACAATGCACATTAATCTTTTCAGCCCTTTTAAGATTCAAATACGT